CTGATAGGCTTGACTCAGTGGACGTTAGATGTCCCAGTTTGGACATGTTGTCCTGCTGCAGCTCAGGTTTCAGAGATCACTGGAACCAGCTGATTGTGGCAATGTGGAAAAAACAGAACCATCATCTTGACCTGACAGTAGGTGCTATTCTACTCTCAAAACGACGGACACCACAACCTCCGTGGTAAAGGGTCGAACTTGCTGGTAATAAATATGCTGATCGTTATTGATAAGTTGGTTCAAGTCAAAGCGATCAAGTCAGCAGAATTCATGTTTTTCAGCTGTCTGTCCTGTCGTCACAGATGCCTGTTCTGTGTCTGGGACAAAGTCATGGAGCAACTCGTTGCTGTCCTTAGAGACAGCCTGTGAGAATTGCTAATAAACACATGACCCAAATACCTATGGCCCTCTGGTTTTCTGCCTTTGCTCAGACGTGTTTTGTATCTCTGTCTTTGCAGGAGAACTAACCTTACATGGTTACAGTCCCATTCGTGAAAACCGACACTTCCCACTGCTTGAAGGAGCCAGGATTTGTTTTCTTGTTTTGACACAAGATTATGTCTGCCAAATCCATTTCAAACACAATGAAGGCTTGCCTTTGACCTTGTCCTGCTGGGATTGTTAGTGTTTATCTGAGAGAAAACAGAGCAGAGACTGAGGGTGCATTCACACCAGCCCTGTTTAGTTCATTTTAATYAAACTCTAGTTTGTTTGCCCAGGAAGTCCGGTTCGTTTGGTGAAYGYGCAATCGAACTCTGYAGAGTGGACTCTGGTCCACCTGARAACCWRGGTCTYAGTWRGGTTAAACTGAACTCTGGTGCGATTCGATTGATGGAGATGGCTCCAAAAGCAGGAAGCGGACTATAACACAGAGCATTCTGAGTAACAACAGYAATAAAGTTACTCATATCTTGTAAATACCTCGTTTAATGTCTGTATAAGGAGAACATCACTGCTGTGAAATTGGATGTGCTCCTACTCATACGCCGCCTCACATGGAGTCGTCTCAGCCGCCTTGTGTGGAAAACGACATTCTCCACGGTTCCACCTCACCCTCCACTCACACTGAGCCCTTTTGTTGAAGGCTGTTTGTTTGGCACATTTGCCAAAAGCAAAAAATAAACCCTACAACCACTCAAATCTGACGTCACTTTGTGTTCTATTACATTTTGTGAAGAAGGAAGTTGCACCCCATGTCTTCTGAGGTTTTTGTGTCGATTCCTTTAGTGGTTCTTGGTGCAGCGCCCCCACAGGCGAGGAGAGGAACAGGTTGTTCGCAGGGTTTGGTTCGTTTGACAAAGTGCAGCGCGAATGTGAAACACACCAACAGAAAATGTAAACAGATTTTGCGATTTTGGTCCCCAATCGAACCCAGTCTACCGGACYACCAGGTGAAAACAACCTGAGTCTGTAGCTCTTCACAAGTCAAAAAATAGTAAGATCCATTGGAAGAACTCTGATCTGACAGAAAGTCTGATTTGTTCTAATGTCCTATTTCTTTATTTTAAAATTTACAAAAATATTTTTATYAGAAATCAGAATTTATTTGTGCATATTTTTTTTCTGCTACACGAGATAAACCAGTCTTAGTTAACTGACTGATAACATGAGAATGAAATCATTGCTACTGAAAACAACACATGATGTCCAGTCGGACGTTTTCTGACCCGCAGTTCGGAACAACAGGCACCAGTTGTGTTCTGCTGAAGGCCCACGATGAAAGAAAGCCTTTGATGCACTTGTTTAGCTTTAGCCCAACCCAGTCTGAACAGGTCAGGAAAACAGTTTTTTTGTTCGACCCGAGCCCAGGCCCACCCTCGGAAGAATCTCTGTTTGGTTTTTTTTTGAAGAGTTGCAGCAAGGAGACAAAGTTTGCAGTACATTTCTGTGTCGTGGTGCTGTCGTCTTTCCGCTTAAAAACCGGACCTCTTATGCCACTGGTTACGCAGTTATTGTTCTGCGCCGCCATGAAAGGTTCGCGTACTTTAGAAGTCAAGCCAACTCAAGGTGGCGTCACAGCTTAYTGTAAACACATAAATGACTAAAACTCAGCCAATTATACAATGACTGAGTTAAAATTTGGTGTGGTAGCATGAGAGTCATTGACATCACCAAGGTTATAATAGTTTTGGATTTTTCATTATAGTTTTTATTTTGTTGGGACTTTTTTTTCCTTTTAATTCAGTAAGTTTTAACTAGATTTTACAGTGGATTTGCTAGTTTTTATTAGTTATTATTGCATTTGGTTTTAGTTTATTTAGTTTTTATTAGTTCTAGTTTTTTATAGTTTGAATAAACATATTTGATGTTCCAGTGAGTTAACAAACGAACAGCTATTTGGTTGCTAGTTAAAGCTGTCCATTATAWCACCTTCCTRAAAATAATTGTAAACCAATTTTGCCAACTATAAGGACTTGGGAGATTATTTTAGGACGATGACAATAGTTGTYTCCAACCCGGTGCTACTCATAGTTAGCCATCTTGTGCTAGCTTGATTCATGCAGTTTTTCCCTTGAGAAGTATTCCACCTGTTTCCACACTCGCTTTTATTTTTCTCGCAGTCATGTTCAAAGACATCCCGAAGTGGATTTTGTCGCTTTCTCCCAAATTTTGTTGTCGTCATTTAAGCAGGCGATGCTGAGCAGCAGCAAACTGTAAACAAGTGTTGCAGACCATGAGGTGTCATAAGCTGCCCACAGCTAATATGAAACAAAGAAAAAACATCCACATGGCTCAAAATAAATTGACAAACACTAAAAACAAGGATATTCTACCTATAATTTCAGTTAGTTTTAGTTAATTTTGCAAAAAAAAAGTATAAAGTTTTGTTTAGTCATAGATTTTCATTTTATTGTAGTTTTTATTTATTTTAGTAAACTAAAATGTTTTTTTAATTCAAATTTCATTATTTAGTTAGTTTTAGTTAACTATAATAACCCTGGACATCACACACTGTGAGCACTGATAGATGGTGCAGGATTTTTTGTTCCAAMTTTTGCATCAAAGGTGACGGACAATATGCATTGCTTTGAGAAATGACTCTTTTATTTATAAGCTATTTCAACTGTCATTTATTAAGGCGTGGGAGAATTTAAGTGCAGCTGAAAGGTGGATTTTGTTAATTTTGATTTTGTAACTTATAGCCKTTTTCCATATGCTCAACGTGGCTCGCTCGGCTTGACTTGGTGCAGCTTCATTTCTCCCTGTGRCCTCATGGAAGGTATGCAAAAATGCAAAATAATACAGCAATGCAATTACTGTAGTGTAATACACATGCATCCATGCATTTATCTGATGAATATCCAAAATATACCAGAGTGTCTCAGTTTTCAAAAGAAAACACATAATTGGTTCATTTTTCAACACAAGTCTGTCAGATATCATGTCAACTTTCAAAATAAAACACCCTGAGCAGACTGATTATTTTTCTTTTTGACAACAAAAAGTTTTGCAGATTTAAAAAAAACAAAATCACGGCCATTTAATTATTCATTCATAAATAAAAAGGTAAAGTAAACTGTGCTGAGAAGGACTTCAGTGGCACAGAGACAAACACTGACTCACACCACAGCAGGGGGGCCTACGTGTTCGGTGCCACAGACCAGCTCCTGGACTCTTTGTGAGCCGGTGAATCTGAGCCTTTAACATCGTGTGAGGATGAATCCATGTGCTGAGAGAGCTCGGTGTGTCGGGCAGCTCCCAGTCAGGCAAACAAGGCATGAAATCCTAAAACAAAAGTCAGTCTTAAATTATATGTTGAAAACTTTACGAGTGAATGGATAGTCATTATATTTACTATGAAGAAATTAAAAGAATACTTTTTTTAAAATTTGGCATGAAGGAAAAGTATTATCATTTAATTAGAAGTCAGTTTTCGCACTGCTTTTCCTCAAACAAATCTACAAAATATTCCTGGAAAGTAGACAGACAAATAATCTTTGAGTTACTGCAAAAAAAATACAAAAGTTTCAAGTATTTTATGTTTTTTTTCCCCCTTTTCTTTGTATGGACAAGCTTTGTCCAAACAGGACAAAAGTCCAGCTTCTTGTGTGACTGCTATCCTGCCTGTTTGATTTATGATACAATACCATCGTTCAGAACATTCGCTCTTTGTTCCTGAAAAATGTCTGTTATTGTTTTTGTTGGCGTTTCAAAGGATTGGCAGGTTAAAACAAAACAATAAACAGTTCCAGAGTGTGTCGTTGTTATCTCAATTTTCCCTTCTCTGCTGCCGTATGAATTCAACCATTCTTCCTTTTCTGTTTATTTATTATTTATTCTAATGTGTTTTTAGCTGGATATCTGCAGATGTAGCCATCTGCATCATGGAAATATTTACTTTAAAACATGCAATTGTCTGGTACATACTGTAGAATCTCAGGGCACTGATTTACGATAGTTCGCAAAATGTCGTTTTCCAAACCTTGTGTTAAATTTTCTTCTATTTTTTTTATATTATCGCCCCATAGTTCTTGTTATTCTGCAAAACGACTCACTCAGACAAATGGTAATGTTGTTTTCCATTTTTTATTTTCAGGTTTTTTGGTTTTGCAGATTCTAGTTCTACTTGTATTTGTTTGTTAGTTCAAAACCATGCATGATATGCTACCTTCAGGCCCAGAAAAAGAGATCTCAGTGGGGATTTGCCTGGTTAAATACATATGAAAAAGTTCTAATAAAACACTGACAGCAAATATGACTCTATTTAATTTTTATTTATTTATTTAAATATGTCAGAGCCTTCTCTAATTACTTCAAATGTTCAGTAAAGACTAAAAAGTAATATTTGATAATATACTGAGCACTTAAACCCTTCCTCACATAAATTTGATCACATTTATATCAAACACAGAAGCCTTTGGCTGCGGAAGCGGAGTGCCTCCAACACCACGCGCCCCATTAACATTGCGTCAGACAAAGGAGCCACGCCCACTGTCGTGACGTAAACAAGGGGATGGTTGGACTCAGAGGATGTTTCGTCATTTCTGATTACTTGTTAAACACACACACATGCTCCACCCCACATCAGTTTCCTATATAACTCATTCGGCTCACGCCTCTCAAGATCTGACCACCTCAAGCTGAACCGGTAATAATTTCTACGGAAGCCGGGCTCCTTCTTCCAGGAAGATTTTCTACTCAAAACTCCCCGAAGAAACCTCCAGAGCTCCGCTTTCTGTCTATCGACGACAAAAGAAGGGAGAAGAGAGTAAGCTGAGCCACACCGGCTTTAAAGAAGGACAGGAAACTCAATAAGCTTCAAAACTTCTCACAGGAGCTTTTTMATATATGAACAATCTCTGACACCAGAAGAGAGCATCGAGAGGAAACTTCTAACATCGTCGAAAACTGTCAGAAAAAGTCGCAAAGAAGAAAAAGAAGAAGAAGACTCCAAGCCRCCATGGACTCGGGAAAGGTAAATAAATTTAGTCCAGTTCGACCACTTGTCTCAAAAGGTTTTGAAGTTGTTGACTTTAGGTTCATTTAATTCACTCTGTTATAAACCATTTTAATGACGTCATTACAGTCGTAGGATGGATGAGTCGCCTTTATAGTTCTAGGTATTTGTGGTTTCTTACATTCACGGAAAAGGCTAAACCCGGAGAGAAAAAAAAAACAACTAAAATGAGCAATTTATTTCGATTTTTTTATAGCATTCAAGTGAGTAAAGGTTGAAATAAGAGTTATTTAACGTTATTTCACGTTTTACGACATCCTGGGATGGTTTGCGGTTGTTCGTTTGGCGGATGGTGAATAATCGTGAAAGAGGCTACGTGACCGAAAGTTTGTCACCAGCTTTTCACACTTCTGTGGTTTTATGTGAGTTAAGGATGAACGCTAAAAGTAGACAGATGTATTCATGACTGGATAAGTAAAGATAAAGTATTCAAAAATTTAAGTAGGAAGCAATGAAATCAACTCACAGGAAAAAAATACTTTAATGTTTTTTTTTTATTTTCATTAAAAGCAGGGGTGACACAAAAAAGGGGGGTGGGGGGGTGTCAAAGGTCACCCCTATTAATTTCCTGACCACCCCCATGGCCAGATAATCAGTAACCAATGCTATTGTT